ATCTGTCTATCTATCTATCTATCTCTCTATCTATCTATCTATCTATCTATCTATCTATCTATCTATCTATCTATCTCGAAATCCATGGTTGGTTTATTTTGAATGCGTATGCTAAAAAAATCAATATCTAAATAAAAATGACACAGTACTGGCCATCACAATTCCATGATATAAGAACATCAGGGGAGTTTAAATTGATGTTAATCAAGTAAAAAAAAATGAATCCTTAGAAATACATTCTTCATACGTTTCTCTTTCCGCGTGTCTATGTCTTACCATCTGTATACTTAAATGGCTTGCAAATATCTTATTATTTGGTGGGTTTGGTGTTAACTTGTATTTTATTATTTGGCAGTAATAAAAGCGTAACCTTTATCTCTTTTGCTGAGCTCTAAACTACGTAGAAGATAATGATATGCCAGTGTTTGAGCTTTAGCCGCACATGCAGGGTGTCCTCTCAGTATTCGCTTGAGAACTCTTAAGTGTAACAACAGGCAAATGCGTTAAATTAATATTAAAAATAAAACAACAATTTCCCACTCGTAACTAGTACAAGATAGATGTGTTCAAACAAATCTAATCTGCATAGCAGGCTGGGGTCGGGATGGGGAACTATCTGCAGCACAGCGAACAAAGTGAAATCTCATTAAAAATTACCTCTGCAAGAAAACCCCAGAACAGAGTGTTCGAAATAATAAATACTTAAAGTGACTTGATCAAAATATAAAGAAAAATGATGTAAGTCTCGGGGAGTACAATAGAAATGCTTATTTTTATTCTAAAATATAGTCCCGATTTATGTTCAGATCAAAGTGTTTTGATTCCAAGAGTAATTAGTTTCTTTATCCTCAAAAATAAGTATCCCAACTTTTAAGATCTAAATTAGTGAAGCTTGTGAGAAAACTGGACAGAGCATCTCGCGAATTTACGAAGATCCAGTATAAAAAAATAACTTGACATAAAAAACAGAAGGCTTCACAAAAGTTTGACCCCATCTCTTAAATTATATATTATTACTGTTGATGTTTTGGGTATTCAGAGCAATTAGTATTTGTGCTTCGGCTTTGCCTGTTAGGACCCATCTGAGATGAGAGGAATAAAGATACGTGTACTCAATGAAATTTCTCACGTTCAAGGGAATCTAGCTTGAGATCTTCTTCGAGCTACATCCAAACGCCTAACCAGTTCAATACAGACACCGGCGAACCCCAGGTTAGCATCATAAAATGAAACTGTTATAAACGGTACTATTTATTAATAGATAGTATTTGTATATCGCAAAATCCAGCCTTACAGCAAGCTCCATGTTCTTTATTTACAATTTAAATAATATTATTACCCCAGCAGACCTGATAGTATTCTGAAACAATCTCAGCATCCTGGAAAGCATACAGTGCACGCTGGCATTTATTTATAATGCGCTAAATAAAACACTACCATACTGACAAGATACAACACTACGAGTATATCCTCTAAGATCAGAACAAACCATGCACTGGAAGCGGAAGCCGAGGGCGTGGTCAATCGACACCACGGCCACTGTCTCGCTGCTGTTGCAACATGGACGACCTTGACACGGGAAGTTGGCGGACTCGTTGTCCGAGGCGTATCCCAGCACGCCCTTACAGCACGCCTCTGGCGCCTGGTCAGCCTGCATAGGGGGCGGGAAACTGCTGGTGACGAAGTCGGACGTGCTCTGGGGAAGGAAGGAGATTGGTTGATTGATTGATTGGTTGGTTGGTTGGTTGGTTAGTTGGTTGGTGGGTTGGTTGGTTGGTTGGTTGATTGTTTGATTTTTTGGTTGGTTGGTTGGTTGGTTGG